ATGCGTTTTTTGCAGCTATGCAATGCAAAAACGCATATTGTCGAGGGGTTGTCTGTGTATGTATGTGCGTGCGCCTCCAACGAGTTTTCATCTCGAGATCCACAAAAGCTACAAGGCTTTGGTGACTTTTTGGTGACTTAATCTACACACAAGTGCGGGTTCGTATCCTCAAAATGGGCGCTCAAGCCTGTGTGGTTCTCACGTGGGGGCACGTGAAAGTTTTTTTGGCGGGAGAGCGTTTTCGGGAACGGCGCATGCTAGGAAGCTGGAACTTCACAGAGTTGTTCCTTGGTCACGCCTAATCCAAAGATTTCAAATTCAGCCTTCACACACTCCCAGGACTCACTTACGCAAACGTCAAAATTTAAACTGGTATTTTGCCAACTCCAGATTTAAGGTGATTAATAAGATGCAGAGAGCTGCAATTTTGCAGCATTACTTGTCGCCTATTGTTGTGCCCGCGAAAGTAAATTACTTGTCAGCTGTTCTGCATCTCACGTACGAACACGTGGAAATTTCACACATGCGCCTTGGTAACCGTAGAATTGAACCAGCCAGAGGCCCTGAACTTTCTGAGCATAGCCGATGGTGGCATTTGACCAGATGCACGCAAAAACGACTTACACATCACTTTCACGTCTCACGTACGTTTCACGAGTACGTACGTGGAATTTAACGTAACTCCGCATCCAGAGCAGCTGGAGTGCCGAAACTTTCTGAGCGTTACGCAGGGCCGTGCTTGTGTAACCGCGGGCAAAGGAAACATTCACATTGCCATTCACGTAAGAACACGTGAAATTTGACGTAACCCTGCAACCAGAGCAGCAGGAGTGCTGAAACTTTTTGAGCTTCACTCAGGACTATTTTTAAGCAACCGCGGACGAAGAAAGCATTCGCGTCGCCACTCGCGTGCGAACACGTGAAATTTGACGTAACTCTGCAACCAGAGCAGCTGGAGTGCTGAAACTTTTTGAACTTCACCGAGAACTGTTTTTGAGCAACCGTTGGCGAAGAGAGCATTCACGTTGCCACTCACGTACGAACACGTGAAATTTGACGTGCAGCCAGAACAGCTGGAGTGCTGAAACCTTCTGTGCGTTACCCAGGACCGTCTTTGAGCAGTTGCGGGCGAAGAAAGCATTCAAGTTGCCATTCACGTACGAATGCGTGAAACTTGACGTAACTCTGCAATCAGAGCAGCTTGAGTATTGAAACTTTTTGAGCTCTACCCAGGACCGTGTTTGAGCAACCGTGAGCGTTGAAAAAATCCACGTTGCCACTCACGTACGAACATGTGAAATTTTACGTAACCCTGCAACCGTGGCATCCAGAGCGCTGAATTGTTTGGGCATGGATTGGGAATCATTGTAATAATTTCGAACAGTCGTGGTGACCAGTCCCAATTCTTTTAACTAGAAGCATCTGCCGGAAAGAGCATGCCACTGACGAAAAAAAAAACCTGCAGGGAAACTGTGCAAAAAACGCATTGTCGTACCGGCAGCCGGTGCGCTTTTTACTAAGTTAACTATTATGTGGCGCTATCAACAACCTTGCCGGTAGGTGGTTGCTATTGCCAATCCTGCAAACCCGAGCTTTGTTGTAGTAAATACAAAAGTAATTGGCGTGTAGACCAAGACGACCCGGGCGAACAAACATATTAATGTTGTTGTCGGAATGCAAATATCCTATTCTGCGTTGTGTTTGTCAGTCATCCCAGACTGATAGATATAATTTAAGGAAAATAGGGAGAATGCTTTAATCCGTAAACTGAAAACTATTAAATGTGATTTACGTATCACATTTCATTAAATGCCCTTAAATTAGAACATCAATATATCACTTTCTAGCCTCTCAATTTGCACTAGAATTTACAGCATTTTAGACTGTACACAGCAAATCTAAATTAAAATCCGCCTCAGCATCAAGGCGCCCTTGATAATCGTTAATGGGATCTTCAGGCCGAGGGAATCAGCTTTTCTGGTTGCATGAACTTAAAATCTGGTTTATAGGAAATCTGATTTTTTAATTTTTTTAACAGTTCGAGGCTAATGGTATAAGCTTCACCAGCATGGTATGCTTTGAAAGTACTATGATATATAAGTCTCCCTCCTGTAGAAGACCTTATCCCAGTCAGCGATTTAGTGAGAGCCATTTCTTGAGAAAAAAACACTTTTTTAGCCGTAGCGGAGAAAAAAAGAGTTGTATAGCTCTTTATAGCTCATGATTTTTTGGAAAGATGACATTGGAAACTACTGCGATCTTGATAACTTCGAAATCATCATCAGTGGGCAGCGAGGTTGCTCGGAAGAAGCTCCAGCTGTAACATACAGTGACAACCGTAGTTTTTCTGACGGCTGCTGAAAACGTGCTGTTAGTGTGTTCTCTAAGGTCATTTTGTTGTCAGCAGTATCCTCAGCAAAGTCAATGTGAGTATCCCATTTTAGTGACAGTACTGAGACTATACGAAGCCTTTCAACCCTGATCTGTATACCTCCAGTTAGCAACCGCCGGCTGTTCGATATATTCTTCCTTTTCGAAGACCGAGAGAGTGGCCACTTATTTTCTAAAATAATACAGTAGGTAATACTGATTTCTAGAAATCAGAATTTCAGAAAAGCCAGAAACATTGTGCTTTTTGCTTTGAAAATTAGCTGTTGCCACCATCTCACAGCAATTTCTAGGGATGCTGAAGTTTCCCAAAATTCTGTAATTAAATCAAACAATTTCAGTATGTTTCAGATTTTTCTTAAATTAAGCTTTTTGGTAACTTTTCAAATCTTTTCTGTGATTTTCCGATTAAAACTACTGGGAATTTTTGTTTGTGTGAGCGTAATGAATTAACTCGCTGCATTAAAGTGCTTATCACCCTGTTCTTATCGCACTCCGCGCCGTTCCCTGTACACCGTCGCTCCATTCGCTCGTTGCTCTTCTCCTATCAGCAGCAACAATTAGAGGATGCCCATTTCCTATTATCAGGAGCCATTCGAGAATGCTCGCTCTCCCTCCGTACCCTTTCCTACGCTCCAGTTTCAGGCCTATTTCAATTAATGGTTGTGTCTCTGCGGTATATTTATCTACATTTTTGCTAAGTTTGCGTCACCGGAAAGCTCATTATCCAACCTTCAGCAGCTCTGCCATGGATGAATGAATGCTAGAGCATCTGAAAATCCAAAAAAGCTGAAATGCCTGCTTACATCTTAAAACAGAAAAACATTGCTTCGAAAAAGGAGTACTAAATCGCAAAAGTCCTCAATTTCTTAGTCTCGTTTTTCATCGATGTCAAATTTCAATTTCATTTCAGTGCTTTTACTCTCTGTCTTCGTCTAAATTTATTTCGACTTTACATTCGATTTTTCTGAATTTGTATTCAGTTCATGCTTGGTTCGTACAAGAATAATTCTTGACTGATGAGACAGAATTTAAGTCTAAGCCGATGAGAAAGGCATTTTCGACTTTTAAGAGAAAGAATTACAGCACATCAAACTGGTCATTGCCGATAAGCTACTTTTCAAGGGTCACACAGATAATCTTTAGAAAATAAAGCGCACTTCGCATATGATATTGGATATTGTAGGCATACAGATTATAGTACATTTATTTCTAATATTCATAGACGACTAGATGAAAGTAAAGTGTATAAAAGTAAAGGTCAGGCTACTTTTACGAGTGGACGAAAGTAAAAGGTCGGGCTACTTTTGCATATTTCCATCCTTTACAGAGAGTTAATTATGGAGCAAAATTCGGCTCTGTTTTATCATCGCATTTCTTCGGCACTACCGCAACATTCTTTCCCTATTTCGAGCCTTTATCACTGACATAATTCCATACAAACGTTCAGATTGGCTCTTCCGTTGCACTGTCGATCCTACCATCCATTGTTTGCTGACCATTGCACGCGCGCATACCATTCAATAATTCGCTTTGTCCATCTGTTGTCTTTCGACCCCACCACACGACCAGCTCAGCTGTTCTTTCTTGTGCACATAAACTGCTACGATAACATCGATCATGCTTGACCGAAACAGCCAGACACTTTGTTTTTTTCGCCATTCGTTTTTCAATTAAATGTATTGTTTTGATTTAACGGTTTAATTGTTTAGTGGCACACTTACTTCAAATAATACTACTAATATCCCGTTGTTAATACATCCTCGATTAGATTAAGTACTTTAGGTGACAGTCAAAAAAATAAAGTAAGAAATGATTTTGTCTTGAAAAAAGATGATAGGTGAGAGAAGAAATGTGATAATTTTGTTTTGAAAAAAATGCGGCAAAAGTCATCACACTCATAAAGAGTTCCACGCTGTAGCGGCAGCCACATTTGTTTCGAATGTTACTTATCCGGAGCTTTTACTGCAGGATTTGAATGAAAACGTACCTGTTTCAATGGGGAGGCTGTTTGCCTCCCTATCATAAGTATGGTGTTTTTTTGCTCTGCGGTTTCGAGCTCTTCGTTTCGTCTCTCAGTATGGCCGTTGCACAAAAATATTATGAATTATGCACGATATTATTTCCAATTTCGATATACATGTTTGATGATACCAAACAAAAGCAAATCCCCGGATTTGTTTGGACGGATCGCGAGCGAAACATTCTTCACAGGGTTCGTCTTCTTGAAATTTTTCAACATATCCTTTATTTTTATTAATAATACTGTTGTCATTATTATTATCACTATTATTATTGCTATTATTATCGTTATTGTTTTTGTTACTATTATTACTATTATTATCACCAGCATCATTATTGTTGCTGTCATTATTATTACCATTGCAGCTCTCACAATCATTATTATTGCTATCATTATCATTACAATCATTATTTTCATTCCATTATTACAACTATCATTCTTTACTTCATCACTAGCAACACCATTTATTTTTTAACGCGATTTTTATACTTTTTAGCACTCTTTTCACTCTTCAAGGCTTCCTTTAAGTGGCTTTCTTTAGAAATTCATCATATAAACCCGAAATTTAATTTTCATCATAAAATTCAAACTCATTACTTTGATGCAATTGATACATATATGTGTATTTAGCATGAGCAAAAATTGCTCTTGTTGTGGTGTACATCAACTTTGACAGTATTTCTATCGATGGCATTGATTATGCCATATTTTTTCAGTTTTTCAATAGCGAGAAGTGACCGGCAGGTAAGCAAATTTTTGAAATAAGCGAGTTCAAAAATTTGGCTCAGAATTCCCAAAAACAATGAGAATTTGAGCAAAAATTCATTTCTCACAGGTCACATTTCAAACTGTTATGGAGAAAACTAAACCGGTTTTTTATCAAAGAAAGAAGCGATGTGTTATCGCTGTTGTGGATTCGAGGCCTCCTTCCTATTTCCCTTTCTGGAAGAGACGAAAGCACTCGGAGTCAGTGGCAAATACGAAAAAAAAAACTCCAGTAGTGGATGCAGGTGTCCTCTTACAATTGAGCTCACGCATGCCTTTGTCCGGAAATGATCCGGAAGAAATCAAAAGCAACAGCCCAGTGACATGATTTTATTTTTATTCAAAATTTCAATGGATAGATCTGTACAAATTTTAGAAGCCATTAGATAGATCTGTACAAATTTTCGATCCACACTAAAGATCAGTATTTCTAATCCTGGATTTAAATTTTAAAGCAAAAACATGTATCAATTAGCACCATGCGAAATTTAAATTACACATCTCTCCGTGTATTTCCAGTAATCCACTTGCATTTTGCATATATTGCCAGCAATTTGCTCAGTTAATTGCTGGCACAGTGTGTAAAATATATACATTATGAGCAATATAGGAGTGGATAACGAATAATACAGATATATATGATTAAAGTTTCGAGTAACAGCAGGTCTGCCTATCTTTAGGAAATGATTTTTCATATTTCTACATTTATATTTCATTAATCTTCAAACAAGACATATTTATACTCGCATGCACACATCTCATACGCTCGGTACATTAAAAGCGAAATACGAAAGACACAAAAGCACAACGAATTCTAACACCGTTTAGGATCAGCGCAACGGAAAATTAGCACCTTAACGTGCAGTGTCTGCAAAGGCGAGGCCAGAAAGCAAAGCTGTTAATGGTACCAGCAGATTTCCCAACGAAATGGGTTCCAAGGAGTTTCAAAGGCAAATCATTGCTGTGCCTCAACTATTCGAGCACTAAAGAAGTCTTTTGCAAAAAGTTTTTTTTTGCTAGCCGAGGACAAATTTTCAAACGTTGGACCGAATGCAAACTGAGTTGAGCCCGAATCCGAGTATCCCCTTGAATCTAAGTCAACAAGGCCGCAAATTAGCTGAAACAAGAATTAAATATTACTGGTGATACAACAGCACAATTGTTTATTAACAGAATCTTGATGTAGTATATTTTTTGGATCGATTCATAAATGTTCAGTTTCTAGCGTCGTATTCGTCTCCTAATTATGTACATATTGGCATTGGTGTTTGCATGTGCCGTTGCGGTGAACGGTGCTGTACTTGTATGGCTTTACATAACGGCTCCTGCTGATAACAAACTATTTTATGACTTATTCGATAGCTCCGTGAAGGAGGAAATATATTTGACAGAAATCGAGAAGCAACTGGACTGCATTTCCGATGATGACAAAGAGCTTGATCCCACAGTGGTAATCGGATTTTTTGCTTCTTTTTTTTTCATTTTTTAGTAATTCAGACTTAGAATACCAAACCATCATTTACATGTATAAACACGCCAAAACATGTACATATGCCGCACATACCAACATCCGCATATGCTAATCTGCATGAAATGACAATTCACAACATCTCTTTTCGAGCTCGATTTGAAGATGGTTGTAAAATTTCAGATTGGAAGGCAGAAAGCTGAGTTTAACTTAGAACTGCTACTTCGGGCGGAAGAATACATATGCTATATTATTCGTTACACCAAAGTTTTTCAAACAAATGAAATTTAGGAATGTGATAATACGATAAATCGGTCAGTGATCGGTAAGAAATGGTTGAAACCACTGCTAATTATTTGGATTGTTGGCCATGTACTTACTGCATTCTTGTTTGGCTTCGCCAACAAAGGTTTGCCTTGCCTAAAAAATTAGGACCATTCCCCACTTTTTTTTTTTTAAAAATCAAAATCATTATAAGTAACTCGTGCTATCGATGTTACTAGAATGCTCCCACACGTCGGGGCAGCTATGCCAGCTCCTTCAGTTCTGGGCTTCGTATTATCTCTAGCCAGCACTCGCCACCTCTTCCATTTATGTGTGACAGATCCTCGTCGAGAATCGCGCAAATGTTGTTTACTTTCTCGCGAGTACCACCGCCTCTAACGAACAACATTCATCAGATGTAAGAAACATCTCCTGCCCAAGAGATTTTATTTGCTCGCGTTGTCGTAATGATTATTTACACCCCACCCATCTGACGAAAAATCTGATTTATAAAGTCGCAAAGAGGCGCACCAAGCAACTCTCACTTAATCGCTCGCTTCGTCATAGCCAACACATACTCTTCAACTTTTGTCAGTGACTACGTTTCGTTTCTGAAGACATCAAAAAATTAAGAAATTTAAACGTTCAGATTTCGGTGACAACGATGAGGATACACCAGCAAAGGAGAGGCTGATGGTGTGAAAAGTACACAATCCAGTGAATTCGTCGATCTCATAAAGCCACTACAGTAAATATTCCTCACAGCATGCTCAGCACTCATTCACTTATCGTGGAAAGATTAACTTTTCGTGTATAATAATTATTTCGTGTGTCTGTTGTAGGTTTGTAAACAAATGATAAACACTGCGTCTTTGTAAGTGTACATCCTCACCTCTTTGAATATATCTTTGTCTCTTTAAATATGTCCTCGACTCTTTAAATTGACGTCGGGCGACTAGTAGCTAATCCACAGCAAATTTAGTTTCACAAAAAGGAGTTTTGTTGAGTAAATGGAAAATATGAGTTAAAATTTTTATTTCAAATTAATCATAGTAGTATCACAGAAACAATCCAACAGCTATGTATTCAACAGCGGAAGCTAGTTACACAGGAAGTCAATCAAAATAAACATAATCAACAAGTTAATCATAAAATACACAGAAAGAAGCTTCGGCATTCCCGCCTTCGTCAATACTACAAGCCATTTATATTCATTACAGGCCAAATATCACCAATTTTCATTCGTGATAAATGCCGGAAAAAGCTATTTTCAAAAAACGCTTGATTTTACAGGTCTAGCAAATTTCACCGGATATCAACAGAATCTTGGCTAATTTCACGGGGCCTAAATTAATCTTTGACCGAATCCACAGATGCTCATTTTCACATCGATTATTAAAAGAAAAAACAAATCAGTTCGGATAAAATAGTCACAGAGAAACGTAAGTTTTTGGTTCACAGCAACTGTAATTAACATCAGTAATACGCATACAAATATTGCGCATCATGTTAGGAACACCAACGGATTTCGTGAATTTTGCAGGAAGGAATAATATCAGAGGGAAATTAACTTAGGTACACCTTCTTCTGCTTCTTAATGCATTCACTTTAAATACTTGCTATCTATTAAAACTAATACTTTTTTTTTTTTAAAATTATAAAACACTGAAAAACAAGGGAATTGACGTTGGGCGACTAGCAGCTGACCAACAGGATGGTTCAGTTTTAGCAATTCCAAAACCAGAAAATAATTTATAAAGCTTTCATTTTGGCAGCTTTTCCTTCGAAAATCGCACTTCCAATCTCACAGCTCGTGGAAAGTTTTCAGCTGGCCTAAATTAACGAAAACGCTGTAATTTCAGGCCTAATACAACAGCTCATCAGAGGATAAAATAAACTCAAACCGTGCCAATCGAACCAAAAGTGAATACACCGCCTCCTAAACAACTAGACTTAGGCAAGCTTCCGGGACTCCAAAACAGTTCAAAACAAGAAATCGAGATAGATGAATTTACATGAAATTTTTTTTCACCTAAATGTCTCAGCAGCTTCATAAATTCGTGGCCGAGTTTTCCAACTAAGCTTCGCAAAGGCACGGATCCCCAATTTTAGGGCCTGATTATGCAGAAATCTCTACTCACCGACTTAGGAGATGGAATCAAACCTAAGAAATACAACAAACATAGTGCTAACAAAACGGACAATTAATTACCTACATAATTCTGGGACGTTCCATTAAATAAAAAGTAGTTTGCTGAAGTAGTTACATGAGATCAATAAGTGCAGTAAGATTGGTAGTTTTAATTAGTGACTTAATAATGACTGCAATTTTTGTCGCTTATGATGAAGTGTGAGGAGAAGGCTGCGAGCGGCTTCCGGAACTCCTCCGTAACTGGTACCGTCGAAATGAAACCTAAAAAAATATATATCAAATATTTCTTCACAGTTAGATCAAGCCTATTGCCAAATATAAGCTAGTTGATGCAAGTATCGGGAGCAATCCGACGGTCATGAGCGCTTTTGTTATTCATGAAATTTTACAAGTAAATTGCTTTGAAATATTTTAGAATTTAAAGT